AAAAAAAAATTAAAAAACCCTCAATCTTTCTTTTTCTTTTTTCCTGAGACAGAGTTACTCTGTTGCCCAGGCTAGAGTGCAGTGGCACAATCTTGGTTCACTGCAACCTCCACAAACTACAGGCACCCACCACCATGCCCAGCTAAATTTTGTATTTTTAGTAGAGACAGGGTTTTACCATGTGGGCCAGGCTGGTCTCGAACTCCTGACCTCAGATGATCCACTCACCTTGGCCTCCTAGAGTGCTGAGATTACCGGCGTGAGGCAACATGCCCAGCCTTAGATCTTTTTTTTCCTTTGGGACGGAGTCTTGCTCTGTTGCCCAGGCTAGAGTGCAGTGGTGTGATCTCAGCTCACTGCAACCTCCGCCTCCCAGGTTCAAGCGATTCCCTGCCTCAGCCTCCCGAGTAACTGGGATTCCAGGTGCCTGCCACCATGCCTGGCTAATTTTTGAATTTTTAGTACAGACAGGGTTTCACCATCTTGGCCAGGCTGGTCTTTAACTCCTGATCTCATGATCTACCCTTGGCCTCCCAAAGTGCTGGGGTTACAGGCGTGAGCCACAGTGTCTGGCTGATCTTCCTTTTATTCATGTCTTTTTCAGCACTCATAGGGAGGAAAAAGCTATCCAGAACCCACTTAAAGACAATTATATTATTCACATCCTCAATCTTTATTCTTTTATTCATGATTTCAACATTCACCTACTTCATGGCAGGCAGTGAGCTAACATTTACCTGCATCTTACTCTCATAATAGTTCTGCAAGGGAGGTACTGTGAGCTCCGGTATTAGAGATGAGGACACAGACATTCAGAGATTCCAGCAGTGGCTCACAGTCCCACAAACACACTTGGCAGAACTGGGTCCCTGGTGGAGGCTCATGCTCTTAACCACCAGGACAGTGTTTCTCATTCTTAAGCTGTCAGTCTCTGAGTTCTGACACTGCCTAAACATTTTTTAGACATAATCTTTTTTTTTTTTTTTTTTTTGCTTTCTTGAGACAGTATCATTCTGTCTTCCAGGCTGGAGTGCAGTGGCACAAACATAGCTAACTGCAGCCTTACCCTCTTGGGCTCAAACGATCCTCCCACCTCGGCCTCCCGAATAGCTGGGTCCACAGGAGTGCACCACCACACCTGCCTGATTTCTGTATTGTTTGTAGAGATGGGGTTTCACCATGTTGCCCAGGTTGGTCTCAAACTCCTGGGCTCAAGTGATCCCCATGCCTTGGCCTCCTGAAGTGCTAGGATTACAGGTGTGAGCTACTGCGTCTGGCCTTAGTCATAATCTTAAAAAACAAAAAAACAAAACAGTATTAACACCTTCTAGCAATTATTTGCATTGACTCAGTGTGACAAGCTAATAAAGCAGAAAACAGACTCCGTAAGTGTGTTTCAGTTCTAGCAAACGCCAAATGATATCACAGCACTCTGGGAGCACAGTGGCTTGTGGCAGCCTCACTCAAGTGACAGGTAGAAGAGGCTGGAAACTTCTCTCAACACACGTGACACAGGCATTCCCCACCCGAGTCGCACCAACATCGCAGTCCCAGCACTACTCATGTCATAAGCAATGACATGGATTCAGCAAAACAATCGTCAGTTCATGGTAAGCTTTATAGTTCTACAGAAGTTGTAAGCAGTTTTATCTCTCTACACATTTCAATAATGATAATAAAAAAACACTGAATTATGTGAAAAAATATTAACGAACATAGGCATTCTCAAGTTGGAGAAACACTGATTAGGATATTTTGCTTCCCTAAATACATCAGTTTCACTCTCCTTCCTGGAAAGTGCCATCGAGTTAAAGGAGAGTTGAGGGGAGAAAAGCATCTGGATTCTAATCCGGTTCAGAGGGAGACCAAACCAACTGCAAGCAGAAGGCGGCTGGCTCGAGAGGAGCTCAAATTCTCAACCGCTCCCTGTGGTTTCATTTGGGGTTGGTTGATAGAAGAAAAATAGGTACTAAACCCCTAAACAGTTAATAGGTAACAAAGCTGTACGAAGTTTCCAACTTATAAGTAATGGATGAAATTTTTTTTTTAATTTTGAGATGGAGTCACTCAGTCTGGAGTGCAATGGGTTGATCTCGGCTCACTCCAACCTCCACCGCCCGGGTTCAGTCAATTCTCCTGCCTCAGCCTCCCAAGTAGCTGGGCTTACAGGCGTCTGCCGCCACACCCAGCTAATTTTTTGTATTTTTTCTAGAGATAGGGTTTCATCATGTTGGCCAGCTGGTCTTAAAATCCTGACCTCAGGTGATCCTATCCGTCTCAGCCTCCCAAAGTGTTGGGATTATAGGTGTGAGCCACCACATCGGCCAGTTTTGTTTTGTTTTCAGATGGAGTCTCGCTCTGTTGCCAAGGCTAGAGTGCAGTGGTGCTATCTTGGCTCACTGCAACCTCCACCTCCAGAGTTCAAGTGCTTCTCCTGCCTCAGCCTCCTGAATAGCTGGGATTACAGGTGCCTGCCACCACGTCTGGCTAATTTTTGTATTTTTAGTACAGATAGGGTTTCACTATGTTGGTCAGCTTAGTCTCGAAATCCTGACCTCAAGTGATCCTCCCGTCTCGGCCTCCCAAAGTGCTGGGATTACAGGCATTAGCCATCATGATGAATTTTTAAACTTTAGCATTTCTTTAATCCTTGCCTTTCAGTCACTCAGAAGTGAGAAACGGGGAATTCTTTTGTTCCCAGAAAAGATATATGAGGAAACAGACAGGTTAAGAAGAACTTCCACATCCTCCGTCTGACATAGCTTCCAAGAACTAAAACATTCAATACAGTCTGACATCAGCTTCTTAATCAAGATAGTTCAGCAAAGTTTGTTCAACATTTTGCTACCTCCCTCTGTGACTACATGCTGTGCTGCAATTAAACAGCTACTTACAGTTGAGAGAAGCAAGACTTTAATGAAGAATGCTACAAGTATGGACAATAATTAGTTCTCGTCTTATAAAAAAAGATTACAGAAAACACTTTACTGAAATTTTTTGCTAAAAAGACAGTCTTAAAGGATGTCTGGGAGAGACAGCAAGCACAACACAGTACAAAAGGAGAAGGGAATGTTGAATTCCAGTGCAAGACACAAACACAGCACAATTAGGGAATCAAGAGGAAGCAATCATTTCACAAATAATGAAATTAGGCATTTATATTCAATCAGGATTTTTTTTTTAAGCTTTAAAAGTCCAGCATAAGGAAGGGAATTGGGAAAAGAAGCAGGGGAGAGGGGGTGGGGGAACTAAGCTTATCTACAATCACCATTTTACCAAAAAACACACTGGTTCAACCACATGAGAAGTGGAGGATAAACCTGCCTACATAGCCCAACAGATATTGAGAGCAAATGCCAAGACAGTCAGGTCTAGGGTTGATGTCACAACTGGCTAAAGAGTTTTTACAGGGAAACTTATTCCACAAGGACTGGTCTCTCATCAACCTGGGTTCATAACAGACTAAGTTCCTTTGCATTTGCAGCAGAAGGCCAGAACTTTACGTGGAACAAGTTTACTCCAAATAATGCTCACACTGCTGGTTTTAACCAGTCATGGACTCACAAGTGGCTCCTAATAGACTTCACCATTTCTAGGAGAAAGTTCTACAGATTACCAGGGATTTAAATTTAAGCAAACCACTAAAGAAGGGAAACACTAATGATATTCTGGCACTGCACAAGCTGTATGCCTGTCATCTCTGCCAAGGACATGGGTGGACTTGGCTCTGTTTCTTAGCTCCATGAT